AATTATATTTATGTTGAAATCATTGGGTGTGTGGTAGACTTTTTGTTTTAAGCCAAACAGCGATTAAATTATTAACCTCTGACAAACAAGATGTAATTTGTGCAAAACTGTACAGCCCCTGCTTAGTTTGTCCTGCTGGTAACTATAATTTGCTTTTGTTTTATCAAACTTGAAAGTTTTCTTCAAAATGACTCCCATTACCACCTGAAGTCAGAAACAAAAATAATTCATCACAATTACAGCCTTTTATTTTATTTTATTTTTTACTCAAGAACAGAAAATCACAGAGAGCCACTGTTCTGAAATAAAGCTTTGAACATTTCTTCCTGTGGAGCAGAGATTACAGTGGAATTCAATTTGACATGCCCATAGCTAAACTGATATCATCCTGTTTAACGCAAGCTGAATAATGGATGACTTAGGGAAATGATGAGCTAATGGGATGAAACAAAGGACAGTTAAACTGTTTTTTTTTTTCCACAGGTGAGAGCTGGATTATTTATTTATTTTTATTTTTCAATTACTACACATCAATGAATGCGCAAATAGGTACTAAAACACAATTCTTAACGGTAAAAGAAAAACTTAGACTGAAGCCCTAATTCTTTGGCCGAAAGTCAATCACCTTTCCTCATTGGGCTTTAAAATTGTTTCACCTTTCATCTGAAATGCTTCCATATTTTTGGCTGACAAAAGACTGCACCTCATCAAACCCACTGATGGTGAGAGAGGGATCATGGGTGGTTTAAAATCCATGTTGTCACACTTACCATACCATACCATTTTATTTATAGAGCACTTAAAACAGTGACAAGGCCAACCAAAGTGCTGTACAGACAGAACAACAGGCAACACACAACGCAATATACAAAATGAAGTAACTCAGAATGTAGACATAAAAACGATGCAGATAATAAATATGACGACAAACCAGTGTGGAGCGTACAGGTTCAAAACACAGATCCCCTGGTGTTGAAAGCTACTGAATAGTAGTGGGTTTTTAAACGGGATTTAAAAACCGGGAGGGAGGGGGCCAATCTGACAAGCAGAGGTAACTTGTTCCAAAGTCTTGGTCCTGCTACAGAGAAGGTCCTGTCACCTCTGCGCTTAAGACGAGTTCCTGGAACTGTGAAGAGCAATTGGTCCGCTGACTTCGGGGAACGTGGAGGAACATACGGCTGTAGCAAATCAGAGAGATGTGTGTGTGTGTGTGTGGGGGGGGGGTGTTCAGCGATTTGTAGACATACAGGAGTATTTTGAACTGGATTCGAAAGTGAACTGGTAACCAGTGCAGTGAGGCCAAAACTGGTGTAATGTGCTCTCTTTTGCCTGTACTGGTTAAAAATTGGGCTGCTGCATTCTGGACCAGTTGTAGTTGTGCGATGGAGGTCTGACTGGTACCAAACAGGAGCGAATTGCAGTAATGAAGCCTGGATATAATGAGTGCATGTATTACTGTCTCCAGGTTTTTTTTGGACAATATGGGCTTCAGTTTAGACAGCTGCCTCAGTTGGAAGAAACATGATTTAACAATCATGTTTACATGATGATTGTTAAGCTTCAGGGAAGGGTCCATTATCACGCCCAGATTAGTGACTCTTTGTTTTTCTGACAGGGTTAGAACGGAGAGGTCGATACAGTGGTTTGTGATCGTGTCGTTGAGAGGGAACAACATGACTTCAGACTTCTTTTCATTGAAACTCAAGAAATTTAAAGCCATCCAGTCCCTGATGTCAGCCAGGCAGTTGAGCAGCGGTTGAATAGAGCATGTACCATTGTGTCTTAGGGGGAAGTAAATTTGACAGTCATCAGCATAGAAGTGGAAGGGCATGTTGTGTTTCCGGAAAATAGCACCAAGCGGCAGCATGTATAAAGAGAATAGGAGGGGACCCAGGATGGACCCCTGCAGAACCCCCGATTTAAGCTCTGTCACTGCAGAACTGAAATCCTTAATGGAGACACAAAAGGATCTGTCAGCGAGGTAGGATCTGAACCAATTGAGGGATCACCCTGTGGTGCCCACCCACTACTCCAACCTAGCAATGCGGATATCATGGTCGATGGTGTCAAAGGCAGCTGTGAGGTCCAATAGGACAAGCAGCACAGAATCACAGGTATCTGTGGATCTGAAGATGTCAATAAAATTCTTGAATTAGGACAGTTTCAGTGCTATGGAGATGTTTAAAGCCTGATTGGAATAGCTCTAAGATGGTGTGATCCTCCAGGAAGCACTTCAACTGGGACTCAACTATTTTCTGCAGTAGTTTAGAAACAAATGGGAGTCTGGAGACAGGCTGGAAGTTGGACACGACTGAGGGGTCAAGGTTTGTTTTTTTCAAGAGAGGCTGGACAGCAGCATGTTTGAAGGTTTTTGGCACCATGCCAGTGGATAAACTACTGTTTACCATAGCAAGAATGGACAGACCTAGAGTAGGAAAAACCTCCTTTAGTAGTCGAGGGGGGGCCACATCAAAGGGGGAACCAGAACGTTTCAAGCTGCACATGACCTGCCCTAGAGAAGATAAAGTGATGGGTTCAAAATGGTCAAATATAGCTGCAGCTTGAGGTTGGATGTATGGGTCATGAGTTGGAGGGGAAATGAGAGCCCGGGTGGTCGCAATTTTTTCCAAAAAAGAAATGTAAGAAGTTCTCGCACAGCTCAGTCGAGTCTTCCAGAGGTGATGGTTCAGTGAGGTGGAGAACAGAGTTTAGGGTAGAGAAGAGGACCGTGGGTTGTGAGAGTTTGAGGTTTTGATATCAGAAAAGTATTTGGATTTAGTAGCCTTTACTGCTTTCTGATAATGGCGCCAACTCTCTTTTTATAATTGAAAAGAGACCTGCAGCCTGTCTTTCTTCCATTTGCGCTCCACCCTCCTACATTTCTGCCTAACGGCCTTGGTGACGTCACTCAGCCAAGGTTCTGCTCTGAGATTTGATTTTCTAGTCTTAACAGGAGCAACATGATCCAGAGTCTTCAAGCAGACAGAGTTGAACAGGGATGTCAGCTCCTCGGTGGTGGTGAGAAACACCGGGGGCTGACTTATCATTTCAGAGGTATAAGCATCTGTGAAACGTGTGGCAGTGAAGTGGTTAATGGTCCGGCTGCGACGTGCAGGAATGCACAGCTTTGGAGTTAGATGGGGGAGGGTGAACGACTGGCATGTGGTCTGAAAAAACATTATCACCAATTTCAAGATTACTAACAGTCACATTACGAGTTAAAACAAGGTCCAGTATAATTTATCTGGCAGTTTGTTCCCTATGAAGTTGGAAACCAAACAATAGAAATAAAGTGCTGTTAACTAATGGAAAATGTATCTACTACTAACATGATAAAAAATTGAAAAAAAGTGTAATTGAATACCAAGCATTCCTCAAAATAATGCATATCACAGCTGTAGCTAGCTTCTGAGGTCCCCACGATAACTGTAGCCTCCTTAGGTCCCTACACCATCTGAAGCCTCTGGGGTCCCTGTACCAGATGCAGCCTCATATGTCCCTATGCCAGCTGTGGCCATCCTGATCCCCACGACAGCTGCAGCCTCCCTGGTCCCCACAACAGCTGTGGCTTCCTTGGTCCCCACAACAGCTGTAGACTCCCTGGTCTCTTTGCCACCTGCATCCTCCCAGGTCTCCACACCAGCTGCAAATCTGCTCATTCCAACGCCTGTTGCAGAGCCCTTGATTCCTTCACCTCTAATTCCAAAGGATGGACAGTCTCCTGGCCACCCGCCAGAGCTTCTCCCCTATGATGGACAGTCTCCTGGCCGTCCGACGGTGCTTCTACCCTTTGATGAATGGTCTCCTGGCTGCCCAGCTGAACTCTGCCCCTGTGATGGATGGTATCCTGGCTGCTCACCTGAACTGGTTCCGTGTTGGATGGTCTCCTGACCGTCCACCTGCACTTTTTTCTTTGTGTTGGTTCATCTGTGTCTCAATCCCAGGCCTTGTCCTATTGGTTTTTGGCTTTTCTTCATGTTGTCCTTGATGCCCTCCATCTTCTTGATTCCCCCTCCTCCCACCCAAGTTGTGTGGGGAGGGTCTTGGGACATCATGGGACATCCTTGTGGGAAGGGGTTTACTGTGAGGATTGTGTCCCTTTGTGTGTCTGTGTCTCCTTCGTGTGGTCTGTTCCTGCTCTTCTGTCTTCCCCCTCATGGGATTAGCCCTTGCCTCCTACATGTTGCCTTCACAGGTGTTTATGTTCATCTTCTCATTAATCGGTCTTTATATTTGCTGTGTTGTCACTGTTTCCCTGTCCAAGGATTGCCCTCCTATGGTGTCACGGTCTGTTCTTGCCCCTCCCATTATCTTTGTCCTTTTTGTACGTTTTGCTGCCATGCCAGCCTTTTGTTTCTGTTAATAAACTGTTTTAGTAATTTAATTATTTAAGTTGTCTGTGTCTTGCCTCCATTTGGGTTCAGCCTGCACCAGATCATGATATACAGTAATTCAAATACTATGGGTTTTAAATAAACATCTAATGATTTTTTTTTTTGAGTTTTGTTAAAAACCAATGTATTTATTTTTATTTTTTTTGTCTCTATTCTCTACCTAAATTGAGGGATTAAAAAAAACCCAACAACTATGTAATGGTAAAGGCAGTATATATATATAT